AAGGACAAAGTCAAATGTAAGAGCTGCTAATAGTTCAGTGAACATCAGAAAGACAAGGAAAAGAAATGGGAAAAAAAAATCAGTTGGTTGAAAACCCATCAGGAAGACATTATGTATCCTATGGTAACAGACTTCGTCTTACCTCGTCATGAATAGAGACTACAGTTGAAACCGCAGCTCGAATATAATCTGAAACAGGTTCCTCAACATAAAAAGTTTCCACGTTGAATCCTCTACCCTACAAGTTCAGAAACAACTATTAATTATCCATATTGATAATAATTTCACCAACAACTCAAGTCGGTGCTTAACTTAAAAAATCAGAGGCATAGCATCTGTTACCTCAACTGAAAGAATGGCAGGCTCTTTATAAGGTCCATTTTCTTCCTCGTCTCGTCCTTGACGCCTTTGACCAAAATTTTATCAAATAAGCTCAAAAAACTCAAATGAAAGGATAAATCTCAGACAGAGAACAGTGAAGATTTAGATTTACTTAACATTGAAAACACAAGATGACATGGTGGGGAATCATCGAAAAGAATCAAAACATAGATCAAAAGGCCAATTAGGACTATCAACTAAGGCAATCATATTAGTAGTGAAGAACTTCGCCCAGCGTTGCATAAAATAAATAAATAGAAAAGAGGTCAGTGATATGTCTTTTATACACCTAGAAAATGCCATTTACAGTGAGTTTGGTTGATATTTCTATTTCTTTTTTTTTTTTACCTCTTTTCCTTTTCCCTTCTTCCCATGAAGCAACTTTTCAGAAAGAAAGACACCACTTTAGGCAAAAACTGTTGATGAAAATACAGAGTTTTACTGGGAAAATTTTACTCAAGACACAGTGACGAGGTAGATTGGAAATGACAAATTTATTTCGACATTTCATATTTCTCAGTAAACAAGTATGGGTTTCGTAGAAGTTAAACAAAAACAAACAATGTTGATATCGTCGAAACTCAATGCAAATTGCTCAATGAAAATGATATTAGTAAAGATTCCATGAAGAAACCTGCTATTAAAAAAAGAAGCCATTGATTTCGCTTCAATTGTAGCTGATGATATGACAAGACGGAGCTCAGGTCGGCGCCGTTGTATCTGTTTTAAAAAGTATTAGCTCAATGGAAGAGATACATAATGATATAGAAATAAACATGTGTTTTCTAAAAAATCGGACACATACAAGAAAGTACCTTCTTTAAGAGACCTAACAAAATATCTGTTGAAAGAGATCTTTCATGAGCCTCATCCACCATGATCACACTGAAAGGACGAAGAGTGAAAAATAGTTATTTAAATAAAAAATAAGGAGGCGTTTAAAAAGAAGCACCTTAAAGAAACACCCAGTATGAGATTTAAGAGAGATCAACCTATCTAATCTCAATCATTAACCAGTAAGCATTTATCACAAATGACTGCTTTGCACACAACTTTATTATTTGGCTGGTATTATAATTCTCCAAGAACAACATATTTTAGGAGTGCATAGACCTACCTGTACTTGCTCAGTAGAGGATCATCCATCATTTCCCTCAGCAACACTCCATCAGTAAGAAACTTTATCCTTGTTAGTTCCTACTTCCAAAAAGGATTATGATATTAGTGATTAGTGTTTACCAATATGCAGAAAGTAAGCTTGGTCTTGGCCGGTAAAATGAAGCCACTACAGCATTTCATATAATAATAATAAGAAGAAAAAAAAGATAAAAAATGAAGGTTAAGAAAGAAAGAAAGAAAAACACTATAGGCAACTAGTAAATAAAAATAAATAAATGATGGCATCATTAATCAATGTATGAAATACACTGACAAGGATGAGAAGCTTTATATACTCACGTTATTTGTAATATCTTCAAACCGGATTGTGTAACCAACTTCATCACCTAGTTTGACACCCATCTCCTCTGAAACCCTTGAAGCAACTGTCTGAATGCCAAATAAACTGTTAACTTTGTGGAGTTCATGCAACAGACTTATAGAATGTCAGTGCCAAACAGGGCATCTATTAGGTAAAACTTCTTGGTAGCAACTGAAACTTAGATGACAACTTCTATCTAGATGGAAAATGGAAAATAAAGGTGCAGAGGAGTTCCACAATAAGATATAGTAACAAATGGAACACTGGAAACTAGGAAATTCGCCAATTTATACCATATGCTTGTTTAGGCCCTACTATTGTAGATCATACTCAATGCACAGAATCTACTACATAATCACAGAACAAGAAAAAACAGAAAGTGGTATTTTTCTTCGTGCCATCGATATATAGAATAGTGCGAAGGAAACCATATATGGACATAATCCCAGCTACGCATGAACTCACATCCAAAAGCGTACCAAGCAAGCATATTTCTAGGATAACAAGACTCTATGGATGAAAATAAATGAGTATCCTGGATTCCAATTCATTTGACTATCATTTCGCTTCATGTCATCTAGGTAAAATTCTGAATTTTCTTTTCCTTTCTCATGAGTCATCTTAACAATTGGTCTTGTGTAGACCAAACAAAGCTATCACGATACCTGCACAGCCAAACGCCTTGGTTGCGTACATGCTATCATTCGTCCACCCTCCGCCCATCCAGCTTCTTTCAAATACTGTAAACCGAGTTCGTCAAAAACCAGAAAATCCCAATAAAAAGGAAATTTATTATCCAATTATGGAAGAATTCAAGAATTAAACCCAATTGGGACTTAGGAGGGAAAAATAGACAAGTAATCAAAAAAAGACCACTCAGCTCACTCGAATAACAAAATGCATCCTATAAGAATGGCGATTCAAGAGCTTACGCACAACGACAAGAAAAACATTTGGAGTACTACACACCCAGTAAGCTGTTCGAAACCTTCAAATATTTTAAAGAGGTTTCATGTCTGTACAAAGTAATCAAGGTGGAGACCTGAGGAATTTGGGTAGTTTTCCCACTTCCGGTCTCTCCGACGACGATGGTGGTGGCGCGTGTCTCGACCAAGTAAAGAATGGCGGTTCTGTACTTGTAAACCGGCAGCCTCTGCCTCTGCTTCTCGAGGTTCGCGTTCCCATACCTATATTTGGCACAAATTCAGTACAATAAGAGAGAGAGAGAGAGAGAGAGAAA